TATATATATATATATATATATAATGAAGTCACTATCACTATATATAGTAATTACTATATGGTAAAAGTTACCTAAATTCGTCAAACGTTGAGTTTTACAGTCTGCTACGTTCAATGATTTTGAACGAATAAGCAGATATTTTATTCCTCTTTATATATCACAACAATCACTTAGTAGTTGCTTATTAATCTCATACATACACATTAATCGCTTAGATAATATAGCAGCTTATTAATCTTATGTAATACATACATATTATGATAGAAAAGATGATAAGGTTATCATGAAATAATGAATAAAATTTAAAAATAATAATACGATGAAAAAATAATATTTAATACAAAAAATGGGATGAACAACGATATAAAGATTAAATATTGTGACGCAATATGATATAACTGATTAGTCGAGTTGTTTACCAATGATAGTGAAAAGGTATTTTAAAAGTTTGAAAAATAAAAAAATATAGTTTTATTTAATTTTCTTTATTGCTTTTTTTTCTTTTATATCATCTGTGCACAACAATTATAGTGCGTAAGGACATTCATTATAAAAAAATTATTTATAGATTGAATGGATTTGGAAGAATACCATATATTCCTAAACCTTTTATAGAAAGAACATAACCAGCAAGTGGTTGTTCTTCAAGTTGTTGCTTAGTTAAATTACGGCTGCTTGTTGTTACATATAACGTATCCAACAAAGGTCCTCCAAATGTCAAACTAGTTACTTTTGATACAGGAAGTTTCACAAAGCGTAGAACTTCACCAGTTTGAGGATCAATATTGAGTACCTATTACATAACACATTTGTATTTTTTAAACATTTAAAATGACATTATTGACATTGAATATAAACATAAAAATCTTATAAAGATACTTACACCACTTCCATTGTATAAAGCTACCCAAAGATTTCCACTTGCATCTACAGTCATACCATCAAGTATTCCAGAGTAACTAGTTTGTTCAAGATCAAATACAATTCTTTTGTTAGCTGAAATGAATTACGTTCATGAATTCAACATCAATTTTATACTTTATATCTAATATATTGTAAAAATTTCATACATATTGATCCAGTGTAGGAGTCAAAATCAAATGCTGCTATTTGATGCGTGGCAGAATCGATATAATATAATGTATCATCCAGGAGACTCCAAGTTAGTCCATTACTATTAGTAACATTTGATAATTCTGCCGTTACAGTCAAATCAGAATCAATACGATAGAAAAATGCTTTGTGAGGAGCAACATGGTCATTTGATTCCATTCCTATTGTTCCTGTAAAGATACATATGAAACATGTAGTATAATTATCTAGTATGACACATAGTAAATTAGCATTTTAATCTAATAGACTGATCATTTTTAACTAACCACCCCAGAATCTTCCTGAAGAATCTGCTTTTCCATCATTCCATCTAGTGCCATTGCTTATTACATTAACATTAATAAGCGTTTGAGAATTTATTTTTGTGGTACCCGCAGAGTTAGGCATCTGAAGTAGAACGAAATCTGTACCACTACCAACTACAAACTTGCCAGATTGATCCTTAACAGGAATAGCAAACCCGACTGGTCCATTTTCTAATCATTAATTAATAAATGAATATTAATTCATGGCAAAAAAGATTATTTTTTACTAATTGATTTGAATATGTATTTTGTTCTGAATATATATATATATTGTATTCTGTTAATTACCTACAACTGCGCAGACAAGTTCTTCTTTTATAGTATAATACATACATACTTTTTGTGCTATTGTATCAACAAAAGAAAGTGCTTGTGACCAAATATGCCATAGAGGGCTTTCACCATGAACAAATTTGCCTATTACTGGTTCAATAGTTAGTCCATTATTACTTTCTGGCAATATATAAGTTTCTCTATAAATAACAAAAAAAAAAAAATGAATATTTCAAATGATATGAAGCAGTAATTTTCATTAAGAAGCTCCTTTAATTATGATTTCAAAATAACAGAGAATATTTTTCGCGTAATTTTTATTATTTTATATATTTGCATATATAACATATAGTTGATAGTGTTGGTATTTTTTGACGTTTAAAAGTAAACGATCGATTGATCAATTGATTTAATGAATTGATTATCAATATTTATTGATTGATCATCATTGAGAGAAATCATTCGTTTATGCTGAGACCTTGTATGTAAAGAACTTATGGATTATGAATCCTTTCACTTACCCATTGTGAACGAAGAAACCAAGGTACAATGCCAGAAGTAAAACTTTACAAACAATATTTTTCATTGTATACGAGACAATGTTAACAACCAAGAGAAAATAACAAGTAATGCCAAATGGTACCTCACCTGCTGCTTATATAGTACTTCTCCTTTCTCTAAACCCGCTGGTATCTGTAAAATATACAATAGATTATTTAAAATATGTATACTAAAGATAATAAAATATATACTAAAAACTAAAAGCTAAAAACTTCGTCAGTGCTAAAAGATAATAAAATACTAGAAAATAAGATCGATATTACATATGCAAGTGATAACTTACATGGTAATGTATAGATTTGACTATTTATAACTAATATTATTCATTTTCTTCATAAGAAAATAATCATAAATTATAATATCATTTTTCAATGTCACTTAAAAATTAATGTTCTGTTACAAATGTATACAACGCTCGGATAAGAAGAAAATATAAATTTGAATTATGTCGTTTTTTGTGTAAATACTTCTTTTTTCATTTGTATAATGTTTTATAAAATTTTTTTTATATGTACGTCCTATCAAGTATTTTAAAATGATAATTTATATATTTTCATAAATAATATATATATAAATAAATTATATATATATAAATAATAAATATATATATAAATAATAAATTATATATATGTATATGTATATGTATAAATTATATATGTGTATATGTATATATATAAATTATATATATATTTATATATATATGTGCATGCTTTATATTTTATATATATAAAGATGTTTAAAGTTGCTTCAGATTATAAAGATATAAAAGTATTTCTACAACAAGTGTTGCGCTTATTATATAGAAGTACGCTGTGTGTTAAATTAATAATTTAAATTTTTTAAAATTTCACTGCTGATTTCAAAAATGCATGTGTTGTACAATTCGCTAGTCTAAATTTGTTTATGTAAGTGTTTATGTATTATCGATAGAACAGAAAATAAATTACAGTTCAAAATGATATATTATTTAAAGGAATAAATTACAGTTCGAAATGATATATTATTTAAGGGAAAATTAACCGATATGAATTATCTTGAATGCAAATTACTTGTATGATAAATAGTTTCAAATCTTTCTAAATATACATTTTTTGGTCATTTACATTAATTTCTCATTTTTTTTCTAACCTTAATTCTAATTTTTCATTCAGTTCTAACATGTTCTCTAACATGTTGAATGTCCAATTGAATTTCTATTTTGTAAAAGAATAATTTCTGTATAAAATCCATTTCTGGGTCATAATATTTATTTATTTGTAAATTCTTTACAAAATTTTAAAACATTCAATTTGCTATTCTACATATAAATTAGTATCATATATATATCGAAATTTAACAGCATACATACATCGAAGAAATTTTTAAAAGCATTTTATTTTCTTAATTTTATTTTCTTTTCTCCTTTGATTTTTGCTGCCATTTGATTTTTCCTCATTTTTTTTTTTTGCCGGTGTCGCTGCTATCTAGTCGGTAAAGTAGAATAGTGACGCCATATTTGATGTGACTGTAGCGCCATCTAGTAATGCTTTCAGGAATTTCTCGCTCGTGCCGGCCAACATCATCAGGTCACGTGACAGTAGTATATTGATACGTGTCGACGAGGAGAGCCACGCACGACTCGCTACGGCTTGCCAATCGGGCACACGCAGCCGAGTTTTCCTCGGGTTCTCGTTTTAATCTACTGTCTTCGCGGCATTGTTGACTCGAGAGTAAGTGAAACGACGTCATAGCACCGTGACCCTTTAGAATAGTTACACCTCGGATTCAAGATGGGATGTAAGTACGCCGCTTCAAAAACTCGAAAGTCTTTTATTTAGGATTATAGCCGATGTGATCGACGAGGACCGTAACCTTTTGATTTCCTCTTTTTTGCAACATATTGCTCGTCCCGTTGAATCTTTAATATTTCACCTTTTGATCGGGCGATTTCGTTGACACGAGAATTAACTTTCCACCGTGTGTTTTTCAGTCAAATTCCTAGAGGTGATAAAGCCGTTTTGCAGTATACTTCCGGAAATAGAGAAACCGGAACGTAAGGTAAGTCTGTGTTCAGTTGATCTTTCCTCTGTTTTATATTTACAATATTGTACACTCTTGTTAATTTAATTATTGTTGTTTGTGATCTATTACAAAAGATCTCTCTGTTGATGTATCTGTCGAATTCAATTCCATTTGAAGGTTTCTTTATATTTTAAACAGTGACTTAAGCGTTCATTTTTATAGATTCAGTTTCGAGAGAAGGTACTATGGACTGCGATTACCTTATTTATCTTTTTAGTATGTTGTCAGGTAAGGGTTGTTTTGTTTATAAGCACCGAGTTACATTTCGTCAAACTTTTGTATCTAATATGTTGCACCCACAGATTCCCCTGTTTGGAATTATGTCTTCAGACAGTGCAGATCCTTTCTATTGGATTCGAGTAATTCTTGCATCAAATAGAGGGACTCTTATGGAACTGGGAATTTCTCCCATTGTCACATCTGGTTTGATCATGCAACTGTTGAGTGGTACAAAAATAATTGAAGTTGGCGATACTCCAAAGGATAGAGCTCTTTTCAATGGTGCTCAGAAATGTAAGAAAAACACAAACTGCTTCAAAAGTAACTTTGTATATTTCTAAGTCATAACATGTAATTTGTTCTTTATTTTCTTTTGCAGTATTTGGAATGGTTATCACTGTTGGTCAAGCCATTGTATATGTAATGACTGGAATGTACGGCGATCCGACGGAAATTGGAGCTGGTGTTTGTTTATTAATTATTATTCAGTTGTTCGTTGCTGGATTGATAGTATTATTGTTAGATGAATTGCTTCAAAAAGGATACGGATTAGGAAGTGGAATCTCTCTCTTCATTGCTACAAACATTTGTGAAACAATCGTATGGAAAGCATTTTCTCCAGCTACAGTTAATACTGGTACGATTTTATTTATATATCCTCCATACTTTTGAACTTTATGACTTATAATGACATCTTTATTTCAACATCAGGACGCGGCACAGAATTCGAAGGTGCAGTAATCGCATTGTTTCATCTGCTCGCTACGAGACAGGACAAAGTTCGAGCTCTTCGCGAAGCGTTCTACAGACAAAACCTTCCTAATCTTATGAATTTACTTGCAACTATCCTAGTGTTTGCTATTGTGATTTACTTCCAGGTACTACAGTGGAACTATTTTAATTTGGAATATACGCAAAAAGCGTTGATTCAAATTATAATAATGTTTTTATTTATAGGGTTTCCGTGTTGACTTACCAATCAAATCTGCCAGGTACAGAGGGCAGTACAGTAGCTATCCTATTAAACTGTTCTACACGAGCAACATTCCCATCATTCTTCAATCTGCGTTGGTGTCGAATTTATATGTTATTTCACAAATGTTGGCCGTCAAGTTTCAAGGAAACATTATTGTGAATTTGTTGGGAGTGTGGTCCGATATTGGCGGTGGTGGCCCAGCACGATCTTATCCTGTTGGAGGATTGTGTTACTATTTGTCACCGCCAGAATCTGTAGGCCATATACTTCAAGATCCTATCCACGCTATCCTTTACATTCTTTTCATGCTTGGTTCTTGTGCTTTCTTTTCGAAAACGTGGATCGAGGTTTCTGGTAGCTCAGCAAAAGCCGTAAGAACTTGTGTTATTTTTTTTTTGTTTCTTATTTTTAATAGATTTCGTATCGTGATTAAATCTAAAATTGTTCTGCAGGTCGCAAAACAGTTGAAGGAGCAACAAATGGTAATGAGAGGCCACAGAGACAATTCTATGATTCACGAGTTAAATAGATATATTCCAACCGCGGCAGCATTTGGAGGATTGTGTATCGGTGCTTTATCTGTACTGGCCGATTTCCTTGGTGCAATCGGTTCAGGTACTGGTATTTTACTCGCTGTCACAATCATATACCAGTACTTCGAGATCTTCGTTAAAGAACAAAGTGAAATGGGTGGAATGAGTACGCTACTTTTCTAAACTCAATTTACATAGACTTTAAAAGTGAACTTTTTTAATTCTGAAGGACTGAATAATAATTTATTGTGAAATAAATCCACTCGACGTTGAATAGTGTTGATTACTCAATGGAGTAATGGAAGGTCTTCAATACGAATCAAATCACAATTTTTATTCCTTGTTTGCCATTAAGAGGATCACATGTATAAATACATATATATTACATGATAGCTTTTTTCCTTTAAAAATTCTTTTTTCTTTTTTAAAATGTTTAATTCTCAATTTCATTCGCAACAGAAATATATCAGTTTCGCGATTTGCAATTGATATTTTTAATTTGTACATCGTGAAAAATGATACCTCTTTTTATATACGAAATATTTAACAGTGATTCTACACTGTGTCAATCAGTACCAAATGGAATTTTGAACGATACGTTGACAAAGCGTAGAAGTTCGCACTCGGACGTGTAATATGTGAAATGCTCGAATGTAAATACAAGCATTTCGTGTACTTTGAATGCTCTGGATTTACACGCAAGATGCTATATCTTTCAGACAACGAGCGGTGTATATAGAAGAAAAAAAAAATTAAATATTTTCAGCATTTTTTACTAGTGTTTTATGCTCCGAATAATACGGAGTCATGTAAAGACTCTCTGAAAAAGCGCACGATTATGATCGTGACGTTTATATGGATCGAAGCATTGCATAATATATAAATCATTTTGTCAGGACGAGACACCCACCTAGGGTATTCGTACAACCAATTCGTACAGTGTTCGCTCATCATAGATATCATCATTCCTGTGTCAATAACGATACAAAGTAATATTCTTTTCTTGTATTTAAGTGAATATGTTTTTATAAAAATTAAAATTTATTATTTATCTTGTTTTCTTTTTTGGTCCGACCTGCATTAATTTTTTTTTTTTTTAATCAACGTTTGAGAGTAGCGAACTATGTTTTTTAACTATAAATGAAAGTAATATTTGTTTGATATAATTAGAAATTGAAAGAAACTTATTTATAAGTTATATTTGCATTGTATTTATATATCTTATTATATTATATATTGTTTAGTTTCAGATATTAATAATTTCTGTTTTATATAATACAAATGGTACCTATTATTTTATACGTAGAGTTGTTATTAAAATATGACTGAAAATGTATTTATTGTTACTTCGAGAATAGTAAGTGAAAAACCCAATGTTTAGACATTGATTCACGATATCATTTTTTAAATAAATGTGAAATATATTAATGAAATATTAATTGAGAAGTTGCTCCACTAATATAATTTAATAAAACAATTTAAAAATATTTTTTACGAAAACGTAAATTTAAAGAAGGTATTAATACTTATTTTAAGTATCTTCTTAATATCAACATTAATTTATTATAGGTTTATTTTATTCGTAGAAATGTATGTATATACGTTAAAAAATTCAACTGTTCATTTTTATTGAAAAAAAAGGGCAGCATAAAGCGGACCCAATGTGTGAATATTGGATAACAAAAGTAAACGAAGCGTTTCTGTAAACCGTGAATTTGGAGTAGAAGTATCCGTATCTCGCCAAGCGATGTTAGCGCCTTCGCTACGCGTGAAAAGAGCGGGTGATGGAACATTTTCGCGCATATAGGCCCATACACATTCTTTCATTATAGTATTTATCTACAATAAGACATGTTTTATTTTAGCTCCAGATATTTATGTACTAGATTATCATTGAATATCATAAAAACCAACCTGATGCGGTTCTAAAACTGGCAAAACATCCCTTATGCTTGCTAATGGAGGTGGTAACAACTGACCAAGTGCCATAACACTCACGAGTAAACCACCTTCGTCTATATTCCAGTTGGCCATAACTGTAGCAGCAATACCTCTTAATAAAACCGAGCAATAAGCTAAAGCTGGTCTGTACCAAGCTGTCAGCTCTAACAATGTCCACAATAATGGAACATCCTTAAATGTTCGATGGATTTGTAAATCTCTTTCTATAGTAACCTAATATAATAATTAAAGTTTATTTTACAATTACAATTATTTATTTTACAACTACAACGATTACAACTACAGTATTTCAAGACGGTCAATAATACCTTTGTAAATTCTTCATCGGGCCATGGTAATCCATTATACATAACATCAGGTGAGACTAGTTCAACCAACAATAAACTGACCATTGTTAATGCATCTAAATTAACAGGATATCGTTCCGATTCACGATTACTACAACATGCCTATTGAGTTTAAATCTTGAATAAATTTTTATTTAATAGTTTTATTCGATATAATACTTTATAGAAACTTTACCTTTATCACATCAATCAGTAATATTTTATTGAGAGCAATAATTTCTTTGTCAATGTTATTCTCTGGTGGTGGTCTCCGAGGACCATGTCCAATTACTCCAGCATGAAATACAGAAGAATGTTTCTGAGCTAACATTGTGCTTGTAACCTGAGTCAAACAAGATTCATATAATCTTCCATAGCAGTTATTATTTACATTTTTATGTCTTTACCTGTTTATGATTTTGATGTAAAAGTAATGTTTCCTCAAACTTTGGCTCAAATTTTTCTTTTGCACCGAAATATTTAGCAGGATCATTATTGATACTGTGTCCCAAAATTTCTCTTAAAGCTAAAACTCGAGCACATGGCGAATAAAAAGTTAAATCTTTTAATAAATGGCAAACAATTTTCACACCTTGCTGTTTTTTCGTGATATCTAAAATCCAGAATTTTATCAGAATTTTGTTTTTTTTTTAATCAAAAATTAATTGTACTTACTATCTTCCACTATACATAAAAAGAAATACTGAATTACAGCTCTTGTTAATTTTAAAGTAAGTTCTACATTTGGGCTAAAATTATCTTTTTCAGGCATACTAAACAAATCTAACATTTTAGCGATGTCATTAGCTAAATCGAAATCAGATGTCTTTGTTAATAGAGCGGAAATTTGGGGCAAATTAAATTTTATGGCTTGAGTTATCATTTTTGACCGAAGCGCTATTGCCTTGTTAGACCTTTCCCACCTATATAAAGAAAATTATATAAATGTGTAAATAGCATAAAACTGCTTTAATATACTTACTTACTTGAGCAATATTGTAAGATTTTGGAAGAATTGTCCCGGTTCTTGTTTCCCTATAACACTTTTGTAATTTATATCTCTAAGAGATTGTTCTACTATTTGTGTAAAGTAACTGTGGCTAATTAATATATTTTCAGTTTCAAACTTATTGGAGGGAAATAATATAATATTATTCGAAACAAGTCGTATCAAAGCAGCAAGATGAAATGTAGTTACAGCTTTGACTAACATATATGACGCTGCAGATATTAATATATTGGGGCTTTGACTTCCAAGGAAGCATAGCAGTCTGGTGGCTGTCTGAACTCGCAGCGGAGTTTGACTTAAAAGTAACGGTAATATTACTACAAATTCCTGTTTAATTGAATTTAATAAAGCAATATTTGCAGATTGTGGTCCATGTGTTCTCAAAAGTAGATCTATCTCTTGTAATACTAACTCTAATATCTCAGAACATATGCTTTTCACACTTTGTGCAGCATTAACGCTATGATATCCCACATTACTTGTACTTAAACTTGTATCCAGTAAAATATTTATTAACTGAGACCCTCCTTGTTCACATCCTAGTATCAAGTGAACAGTTAGATCTACTAGAGCTTCTGGTTGGTTGTCAAAGTATCTACACCAGTCTGATGCAAATAAAGCTAATTGTGGGATAATATCTGGCTTTACTGCAACAAAAGAGATAAATTATTTTTCTATTTTTACGATGTTTGATATATCTACTTACATGTTTGTAATACATCGGTAGTTATCGCTTTTAAAAGAGTTTGCGAAAGAGAGGCCAAATTTAAAAGAAATGGAACAGTAGCCAATTTCTGGTTCTTTGTATCCTCATCTATATTTGCATCTTCCTGTAAACTCCACTGAAAATATTACCACTATTATTATTATCTTTATTAGTACTATTAATTTTATTATTAATATTTTTCGAGAAAAGCATCAGTTAATATCGTAGCATGTAGTGCAATTTTTACTTTGAATAAGTCTAATAATGCCGCTGTAATATCTTGAAAGTGACTACCAGCCAAATGCCCTAGAATTCCAACCACAGAATTCAATTTAGGATTTTTAATGTTATGTTCATTTCCCATTGCACAAAAATCCTTCAGACCGCATGACAATACTCTGGTAATAACTGTATTTGGAAAACAGCTTCCAACATGAGCTACTACCCAATCAAAATGAGGACTGTGCAACACGCTAGTATCCAACAATGCTTTGATGCAAGACTCTGTGTCTGAATGCATAAGACATTGGAGACATTGAGCTGTGATATCGATCAAAGTACGAGTGGCACAACAAGACATCCATTGTTGAAGGAAATCGTTAATTCCAGCATTCGTAGGTAAGTTTCCACGTTTTGCATATTCCGAAGAAAGTTTGCCTGTAACAAAATCAACATTTCAATAATAACTTAAGTTGATCGTTAACTTAAGTTATTTGAATGATATATACCTAACAGTTCCAGTGACCATGCTGAAATAATTGGCGCCCACGCTTCTGGATTTCCATTAATGAAGCTACTTAAAACAGTGTGAATCTCTGCTATTATAGTCTCTTCACATATCGCAAAGTTCTGATTTGTCTAGTGAAATAACATATTAATAGAACAGCTTCAACTGTATTATAGATTTTACGCAGACGTTGTACAATTGCTGAGTTTACCTCAAGCTGGCGAACATATTTGGTAACAGCAATAAAAAACACGCTGCAGAAATATTCGAGCACCGCGTCTCTTGCAGCAGGCACATGTCGAAGTAAAGAGAGGGCTGTCCGCGTTACGTCGAGCGTGTTCGTGCTATGAGTTGGTCGAACTGCCCCCGAGATAAATTTTCTAACTTCTGCCAGGATATCTTCAGGCGATAACGTTCCCGTGGAATGCAACATCTTAATTTTAATCCCTCAATGAATTACGGAGATACGATCGTTTCCCTTTGAATATTTGAGATTAAATATAATCGCAAGACCGGCTAACATCGGAGAAACTTAACGATTACCGTGTACTATTTACATTCTTAAAGTTTGAAAAATATAAATAACAAATACGAAAAATAACCTAAAGCGCGATATGCAACAAATGCTCTTACTTTAACTGAGTCTCATTTGCTGCCGGTAGATCGCGTGCGTTACGTTCAAAAAGATCGAGTTTTAGATTTAAATTTTAACTTCTAAAGGGCAATCATATATTCGGTAAAATATTAAAAATGTTATGTATTAATTGTAGTTATAGTCGTATTATACAGCGCGTACATTAATATGAAAAAAAGCCAATTTGGAAATATAAATAAATTATAAAATAATAAATTTATTCGTTATTAATAAAAATTATTTTATGAACTTTTTCCGTGTATTTGAACTGTAAGATTACATTCGCATGTTTTTTCACAAATAATTCTTTAGTAAAAAAATTAACTGTATTCTAAAAAATGTATTCTAAAAGACATATAACTGATCGTAAATAAATATTCTTAAAACTATAAAAATTGTATGCAACTGTACAAATATAAAATAAATGACTTAACGTTTTTCAAAACGATTGCTCCTTTTCTTAAAAGCAATATTACTTGACGATTTTTTAAACTTCCGTTAAACATTCAGCTTACATTTTATCAAATAACAACTATAAAAGCAGTCTTCTCAAAAGATATTAAAAATTGTTAAGTGTTAAATTGATGTATCTTTTGCGCAGGCGAAGGAGCATCTTTTCAGCGTCTTTTCTTTTTTTCTTGTTTTCGCGGCCTGTGCGGTCTCCTTGGCGTTACTTGAGGACTATTCTCAGAACATTCTACGTCACTTGGGTCGTCCTGTAATTAGTTTACAACAGATTAGTGTAGTACAGAAGTAGAACGAGTATCGGAAAAACGATTAAGTTAATCACAAGAGACATGAAAAGATACTTTTAAAGCAGCTATGCCATCCGAGGGTCCCGCCTGATAAATTACTATTGCTAGTAAACATACAACTTGAAACATTGCACCAATGTATAACCCAAACCTTAACAACTGTTCGAACAAAGTTTCTTCTGCTGGGAGCAAAAGTCGCTTTAATTGTGGATCGGTATCAGCCATTTCTACATACTGAAAAAAAAAAAAAGAAAGAAGAGGATGATCACCATTTGTTTGTTCCAAAGGTTGAGTTCTTACGCTTGGAAAAATTTTTTTACAGAAATATACACAGAAAATTAATACTGTTCAAGCATATAACGGACTTACTCTCACAAGTCTAATTTATGTTCAATTTGCATATACCATTGTTAAATTGAAAACATTTGTATTTACGAAATATGAACAATATTTCCAAGCTGGAATTGTAATTTTTCTACACCAGGATACCTCTGGTTTGCAAGCAGCTCACATTTCGAACGCTACTTTTCCAAAAACACTATCGCGTACTTAGAAATAATCAATAATCTAAGTAACAGCAATCGTGTGGAATTTTGCCATACACGCGTGACAAATACTGCCAACTTCCTCACTGACGTTTGCGTCGACAATTACTTAAATGTCAGTTGATTTTCACCGAAGCATCGAGATATACGACAGAATACAATTTAAAAAACAGACGAACAAGATGATCAGACGCCAATTAATTTACTAATAAATATGTTTTATTCATGAATGAATGACACGTAGTAAATTTGTAAATTTTTATTTACTTTTTTCGATCGGCCAACAGAGACAAACGTGAAATGCTCGTCTCGCTTCTCCCTTGAAGTTGCCAGCAGAACGTTCGTTCATATATTTCAAACCAGATGTCGTTCCGAACGATTGGCAATTCGATTTAGGCGCCAGCTACCAGCAATATGCGACATCAACGTCCTAAATCATCAACGCGTTGAGAAAAAGTAAATGTACCGCTAATTCTCGTAAACAAAAATCAAGACGATATTCTCGCAATGGTTGAGCAACGTATTAAGAGTCCCAAAAGCAAATTATATCTCACGTTCGTCGAAAACAAGTCGACGTAGTTTCAGCAAATTGAAAATGGCGGGCTGATGGCAGCACCGGAAGTTATCTGGTTTCGAGGCTTCATTGCTTGCGAGTCCGTGGATGTGAACCTTTGTTTTGTACAGAAGAATGGCTGCCATCTTTAGTTTTCGATGGATGTTTTCCGAAGAGATCGTGAATTCTCGTATTTATTGTGGTATTTAATAACGTAATAAAACCTTGGATAGTGGAATAACGTTGCCCGCGATGTAAAGAGTGTTTTTTCGTTTGTTATTTAAGCTGCCCTAGTGTCAATTCCATTGAAAAATGCTTGTGTTTACATCCAAGTTTAAAGTGAGCTTCTATATTCCTGTCATATTAAGGTAAGCAATGCATTTTTACGAATTTCTGCTGGCCGGAACGGGACGGGAGTTGCGATCGTTACGACAGGTGTTCAAAATTCAGTCGAACTGTCACGCAAAAGACAGGTGTAACGTTGCGTTCTACTCGTATTGTGAATCGTTCAGTGACGTTCAAATTGTCTGGTATATTTCGTATTTTTTTTTTCTTTTTCTTGCAAATTGTTCTCGAGAGTGCGGAGCAGTGTCATTGCGGACAAGCTTTCGACAATTTTATTGACGTTTGTTGTGCCTTGATCGTTTAGTAGTTTGTACTTGGCTTGATCAAAAGGGAGAGAAAAAAAAAAAGAAAAAAAAAAATCTCCAACGTCGCGAAACTTCGACTTCGGTAAGACTCGAATTGATCTCGATTGCAAATATTCCGTCGTCTTTTTGCAACGAGACCAGAGACATTAAAAAGTATTTGTTGATCGCAATTTTTGTTTCCGAATGGTGGCAACAATGATTAGTAAAATGGTGAGTACAGGTCAACCACATCGTACACATACTACTTGACGTTGTTTGATTCACACGATTATCAACGTTTATATAACGTTTAAATGTTTATTTCGTATTTTTCTTTTCTCCCTTCCTTTTTTTTTTTTTTTGCATCCTCGCGCAAGAATTTTATTACGAATGATTACACGATTAAGATATTCTGCGTTAGATGCAAGCTGGGACTATTCAATTTCTTTTTTTTTCTATTGCTTTTAGCTGGTAAAACTACGTCTGATTTTATTCAGACACGTAAGATTAATTATGTTTTCTTTTTACGAATGTTGGTCGTGAAAAAAATTGGTGCACAAATTAAAAAGATGATATATTTTCACCATTTTATCCCTTGCTGTATTTTCACGATTTTCACTAACAAACCTGTATCTAACCCTACTTTGCGAGCAGTATTCATAATGTGTTCATACAGTATTAATCAAAAATAGCAAAAATAAATAATAGGATTCTTTTGAAAATGATTCTTGTTATGACACACGTTTACTTATTTCAAACGGAGAAACAAAATCTAAAATTAATTCATTAGTAGATATTCTATGGTTGCAATGTATGATTGTAATGACGTATCTCCATGTATATGTATATTTCATTCAGACAATATTTCAATTGATATTGATATATATCTCATTACAAACTTTCTTGTAGCTAAACGACCATTACGTCATAAAATACTGTTGTTTAAAATTTCAGGAATAGTTACTTTTGATGTATAATATAACTGATGTAAGATTATGAAATAATTTTTAACAGGTTTTCATCAAATTTCAAGGCGTATGAAATTTAATAAGATAATTCACAAATGTTATTTAACAGCGTTAACCAAGCAAAAGAAAGTTTGTATATTGAAAACTATTTCACGGCGGGAATGGAAAAATCTGCCAGGCGGCGCTGGTTTCTCTGCTGGGCGGCCATATT